CTAACCACTTCAGCAGTGTGGACAACAACACAGGCAGGCTCACAGGCCTATGACCAGTGTGAGGGCACAGACCGAAAGTGTGGTCAGGCGTTTAAGTTAACCCTATCTACTCGATCGAGCAGTGCTAGCCGGTCTTTGCCCACCATCGTTGCGCTGTCTGTGGGCATACATATATTGGTATCTACACGAGGTTCCCGACGAGGCCATGAGTGGAAAGATAATCCAAGGTACAATTACTGTTCATTCCGGTCATTGTTTAGTGGACTGGTCCCTGCTCCAGCACGGGCACTATGTTGGCTTTCTCGCAGACACCAACGGAGAGTCAACAGACAATCACCAACATTACTCAAGCACACCTTTCAACTTGTTTGATGAACCCCCAAGGGGAAGCCTGCAGGTGATGCCCGTAACTGTTTTACTTCCGACAAATCGATGAATAAACCTTGGCTATAATCAGTGTGACCAGTCGGAGTTCGAGTACGGCATGGCTAGTCTGGTAGCTGTCAGAATGAGCATTCCTTTAATCTGCAGGTAAAAATGCCAGATGACGTGGCGTCATACCCGCCAGGCAGCGGTCGGCCGTGTGAATGCGAAAACAAGATTTGGATGTTCAAAAGGGCATCTTGATTAGGAGAGGATGGCACTGCCAGTGCTCCCGTCCAGGAGTGACAGCTCAATAGCTCAGACCATTAGATTTGAATACAAGATGACAAAAATATGTGAATGTAACAAGGCAAAACAAATAAAAAAGAGTAGGATAGTTACCGAGAACGACTCATGGATAGAAGGAAATGGACACTGTCATCTTATAGAGCGTAAGAAATTAGTCAGGAGCAACATAGTTTAAGATGCAGCGGCCGCAAAATGAAGAAAATAATCGCTACATATCATACAGAGAGACAACAACCTCACACAGCCAGAGTTCTTAATTTCCGTTTTCTGCAAGATGGCACGAAGTGCTAATAAAGGATGGTACCAGGAGGCTTGCCCACTGTCTAAGTAAAAAATAGAAGGTAGGAACGTTTAGGTTCTCTGGAGGCTGCGTCGCCCAAGGTAACAATTACCAAAATTTTTCTGTCGCGTCAACATCTAAGGTCAAAATCGGCATATTCAAAATACTGCGATAGGGCGAGTCTTGGGGGGTGAGAGGGAAAACAAAGCTGAAGTCCAAGGTAGGGGTAATCCTCTACACTGGGCCTCAGTGTCCGTATCCGAAGCCTCCCATGACAAGAGCAAAGGGTTCGGAAGAGGGGGTACTTGATATAGAGATTAGAACTGCGAAAAAATGATAGTGCACAGTTTCTATCCATACGAAACATATTTATATCGAATGAGGGAAGGTATAGATTTTGGTTTCATTGTTAAATTAAAATATGCAGAACGTAGTTCAAATAACCGTTTTACGCAAATTTAAAAGCAAAAGTGCAAAGTGAATAAGTAACATTCTAAGTTAATTACCTGATTAAAGTAACTTATCACGATATAATGCATGCAAATACGGAAATGAAATCAGATTGGTTTTCATAGTGATTGCTAAAAGATCGGATAACAATTAACACCCTACATATTTTCCATAACCTTTTAAACGATCTGCAAGAAACTAGCTTTCAATAAATTACATAACAAATATTTGTCTGTTAAACACTACAGAGGACTTAATTGGAATAAGATGCTTGTATAACTAGTAATGTAAAATTAGTAGGTTTGGAGGATGCGAGTCTTTGGAAGATAAATTACTCCATTCCCAGTCATTTACTATTGCCTTCACCCTCAGGATTCTATGTAGGCTTAATGTGAATCAATTCTTGTCCACAGTAACTAGAATTGTAATACTCGAGTTCATATGTACAAAACTTACAATAACCCTTTCTACCGTCTTTGTACATGGGAACGTAATTAAAGGATATCTGATTGCCTATTCAAGCACGTACTAATGGAGACCCCCGCCCCCAAAATCCCTTGCTTTTTGTTGCCTTGGGGGGATTTAGGGACAAACTGAGGCCCAACGTAGTTGATCACCCCTACCTTGGACCTCAGCCCCTTGCCTCTACTAATTTCGCAGGGTCTTTCTCTCCCCTTTCGTTTTTTATCTCTTCTTCACTCCCTTATTCTGTCCACATTCTAAAGTGTGAGCCGTGCTGAAATACGGGCTTTGTGTCAGTCCTGCACAGCCTTCATACTCCGTTTGCTCTTCCCTCTTCGGCCTTTTCACAATAATAACCTACAGCACTGCAATCTTTGACATCTAACATTTTGTCCTAATCGATAACTTATTTCACCCGTTTCGCCACAATATTTGAACATAGCGCTGTATAATCTTTCCTAACCTGGAGCGTTGTCCCCAAGCCTCACCGACAAATCTAATGACCTTAGATGTTGACAATTTTTTTTCAATAAAAAAAAAAAAAAAAAAAAAAAAAAAAAAAAAAACATACATAGTAATGGAGGAAGAGACTTGGAGACCATGAACATAATTTACCATAAAATTCTGATCATCGCCCAACACACTTTTCCACAGTATCTTCACGGAAATATAGTTGTAGCTACGTAATTATCAAACCTATTTATTTTACACATGGTAATTCAAGCAAGCAAAATAAGTGAAAAAATGGAAATAGTGACTGGCTTATGTAAACGAAATACTGAGAAATGGAGAATATATTTACAGGAAATTACTGATATACAGAGGCAAGGGGACAAAGTGTCTTAGGTCTACTGTGCTACTGTGCGATGTGTTCAATTGTCTGTAATAAAAGAGCGGAACCAAATCCATTGGATATTACAAAATAAGGTAACTATTACATATCAACACTGGATAACTGCTGTTTAATGCCATTAGACTATTTGACCAAACAATATATGCTTGCAACATCTGAAAAAATGTTGTACAACTATCAATTTCCTAACAAGTTTTTGCAATACAAACAAGCCGATGGGAATAATACATACATTTTTAGATTCAAGATATTTTAATGGTGGAACTGAAATATCTCACTACACAACTTACAAAACAAGAGGCTTCTTTTCATATCATTGATACAGCATTCCTTTAACAGGAATGGGATTATATTGTACCTAGAGAGATACGGAAGTGAAAAAAGGGGGAAAAGAAAGAAAAAAAAAGTAATAAAAAATCAATATAAAGTGAGTTGAACATACAATCATCCTATTCTGGGGTGACCACTGAAAGGCAAATTCAAAGAACTGTCATTTCAAATTACACTGGAGCCCTCCAATAAAGAGTTGCAAGAAACGTGTTAACATTTCAACCTCCAGAATAGGATGATGACTAATATTTGTATCCTATATGAAGATCTGTTCTAGTGGTGTACAATCACTAGTCCTTCTTTGCCAAATCCTATCACCCAAACATACAATCTGTAAAACTTCTGTAAATATAAAAAGATGTGGAGTGAGAGGTTGCGGGAAAAATGCACCATGCCAGTGGACCTGCGCCCATGGTTTATTCAGTGGCATCCGTTATTTACAAGTGAGAAGAGCAAGACTGAATACACCATTGCCACAAATGCTAAATATTATATCCACTTTACATCATCTTGGACGACTTCACATAAAGTATGACCTATAAGGGTGAGGAATAACTTACCTCATACACGTATTAAATTATGTACCGAGACAAGCAAATCCTTTGTATTAGTATTTTTTTTTGTTTTTTGCACTGACTAAAGAGTACAACTACGTTTTGACCCTTGTACATCCATCTAAGCAATTAATTTATTTTTTGTTTAAATCAAAGACTTCTGTGAGCGCATTTTCATTTCTAATTGACAAATTGATGCTCCGGATGCTGAGAGGCACCTATATTGTGGTTGGGAATGAATGCGGCCTCGAAAACACTCTAGTGTATTCAGGCTTCTCATTCACTTCACAATCATCTAGGCCCCTTCTTATAGGGTTCCCAGGTTAGGATTTCCTTAGGGACATAAGAAGATTCTCAAGATGAGAGCCCCTCAGTTTGATCCCCAGTAAGAACCACCATAAGCTGGCTTAGATCCACCTTTGTTTTGTCCACCTGCTGTCCCTGCACGCTGACCACCGGAGCTGCCACCATCCTGAAAGAATATAATTGATTTTGTAAATTTTTATATTAAGGAGAATGAGGAAATAATTTCCAGTTACACTTACATGTATTAGGCAAGATAATGTGGTAAATTTCCTTACACTAATAAAAATAATGTTAGGTTTTCATTTCAACATGCATAAAAAACCTACCTGGTGGAGCTGATGATGCATTAGAGGGGAGTGGTGCTGTGCAGCAGCTGGGATAGTAGGGATGAACATAGGCGGGTATGCATTAGCAGTCATGGGATTGGTGCCAGAGCCAGCCAGGTTGAATGGCGGGGGAGTTCCCGTATGGAAACCTTGCTTGTCATATGACTGGAAATTAGAAAATATCAATGAAGTTGTAGCTTTAAAAACAAAAATGGCTAAAATGAATACTCATCAAAGCTAAATATTTATGAAGAAGAGACAAAGTACAACAAAGAAAACTGCAGATTAAGACCAACCACAAAAAGTAAAAAGATGGCAACTTACCCTTCCTACTTTATTAAGGTGACTCTTATAACCTCCAAGTTCAGTCCCTGAATTAGTGGCTGAGCCTGTTGATGCTCCACCAGCCTTGTTCTGATTCTGGGACGCTGATCCGTAACCAGTCTTGAAGTCTGAGTCTATGTGCAGAAAGACAATAAATAAAGAAGGCATGCACTGAACTTCCATAACATTTACTGTAAAATGCAGCAGAAAATCTTTAGCTGAAGGAAATAAATCCAAGAAAGGTAGAACAATAAATCCTAACATGGAATTGCAAACCTACCTGTGATAAGTTTTCATAGTAGCTTCCAGTACCATACTGCAACTTGGGTGCTGCTGGGAACTGGTTAGTGTTTGACCCAGTGTGTGCATTAGTAACAGGTGGTATCTGAATTATAGCAGTTGGTGTTCCATATTGGGGGAAGGAGCTTGGAACTGCTGCCATATTATGGTACATGTAGAACGGGGCATTGCTGCATTGCCAGCTGCTGTGATGTATGTACACCTGCCTGTGCTCCCTGGTTGTAAGAAGATAATTAATATAAACAAAGTGCTGTAATTCTTACCACAACTATGTAAGCTTTTTTTGTTTACCAGTTAAAAAAAAACAGATCTGCAGAAATGATCCACAAAGGAAACAATAACTTACTTGTTGATTCATAGTGGAGGGAACAGGAGAGGAATTTTGGTCAGTTCGGAATTTAGCATCAGCTGCAGAGTAAGCCGCCGACGTCATGTTCCCGTCACGGCCAGTGGCTAAACTGGTTGGAGCCTGCTGGACAAAAAACAAGACTTTTAAATTTAAAGCAAGAAATTTTGATACCCCACATAGGTTAACATATGGGTCAAGCCTACAAGCCACATACCACATAGATCTAACAGGTTAAAGTTTTTTTTTTTTTTTTCTCTCTCTCTCTCTCTCTCTCTCTCTCTTCTTAAGGCTATAGAACTATAATCACGATCAACATCTGCATACGGCATTTGAGCTGCTTCTTAACCCATTAACGCTGGTATATTTTGAAGCCGAAAATAAAAGATTCCGGGCGGATGGCATCATACTATGCAAAGTGCAATTGATGGCCAATCCCATGGAGCAGCATGCGGCTGCGTGGCCTGGGAGCTAAGCGGGCCAGGGGACATCAGCTGCCAAGCAAGTGTCCCCTAGCAGCCTTCCAGGGCCTGTGCAGGCGATGGTGTGTTATCCGTCAAAGGAGATTTTTGGCACATGCTAAAACCAGGCCCTCCACTCTTTCTGAGTGCATTTACACATGTTTGCATGCTTGCATGTATTTGCAAGGGTTTATATATACATAAACAAATATATGTGTTCATATATACATACAAAAACATATGTGTTCATATATATACACAAACATATGCACAAAGGAGGGAAAGTAGCACTGCCACAGCACACACACTCTTGCGCGGTCCCATACACCGTCTGAGTGTACAATAAATACTGCGATGGGACTACACACCATATTGCAAAAATACCACTAACAATCGGTTAATTTAAACCAAGGGAGCCCAGACTTGTCCTTAAACCCTTGAACTGGGTGCTTTGCTGACTGCACATGGCCCAAAATCTGGCCAATAGGCTTACTGAGTAGCCACTCTGATGGGTGTGGCTTGTTGCTCGAGTGCACACAAACACACATGCAGTGACAAGACACCAAGCCTTTCCTTTCCAATGTTATTTTCTCTTTTCTGAATAACCCTTTTTAGCTTTTTCGCCATTTTCTAATGTCTAAATTTGTCACTCAATATGCTGTATACAGATGGTAATAGCCAGTCTTCTTTGCACAGACTCCACATGATCTCTCTTGGTAGTACAGAACTCAGTGCAAAAATAATAACAATAAGTAAAATTTTGTTATTTGTTATTATTTTAATCTTTCGTAATATTCCATTTTCTGTTATATAGCCTACACTGCTGGTCACAGAGAGCAGGAAGAGAATGAAAATAGTGTCTTCCCTGGAGCCGTACCAGCACTCATGGATGGTATAATCAATACTCACTTATCAATTAAAATAATGCAATAGCCCATTCCTAAATGCCTATGGAGTTTAATCACTTTCCATGAGCTTTGTTGTGCACTCTTGGCAAGTCATTCCCATCATCCTGACCTACAACTGAAATTCTTATGATACCAAGGTCCTGTTACCATGGCCCCCAGCTAAATCTTTCCATGACGGCATGTTCATGTCACCCAACCATAAAGCCAATTTTATTTCACATATAAACCTAACAAAGGTTTTCTCAAAACAAAAATTGAATTGAAGTTACCATATGAGGCAGCGTTGTTGTGTAGTAATTGGAAGTCTTCCAAAGAATAACATAGCAGGCTGCTGAAGGCCTGTGTAGAAGGCAGGTGGGAGAGCACCCTGCAGAGCTGCAGCAGCTGGTGGGGAAACATATTGGGAATGCGGAGCCATCATCTGCTGTGCTTGCTGTTGCTGCTGCTGATGTTGCTGTGCTTGCTGGTGCTGATGTTGCTGTCTGTTGCTGGTGTATTATTGAGGCTGCTGATGCTGTTGTAACACCTGGAGGCACTGCACCACTTAATCCACTCATAACTTGCCTGGGAGAAATTTTTAAAAATATAGGATGTGCACTCACATCTATAGAGCTTCTCTAAAATTATCAGATAAAAAAAAAATCATATTTAACCACCGTTTCACATAATTCTGACTGAAGTACGGTACCTGGTACAGAGGGTTTAGAAGGCTGTACAGGATGTGCAGAAGCAAGTTCAATGAGGCGATAACACTGTTGGACCAGTGCTATTACTTGTGCTACTGCTACTAACTGAAGCACTTGTGGATAGCGTACTGGACAACCCTGAGCCTCCAGTTGATGTCTGCTCTGCATAACTCTGATGGGTAAACAAAATCATTGTACTATACAATAGAATATGGAAATGCTGTCAAATATTCCATATCAGAGTAACATTAGCCTGGTGACATTACCAAGCTTTATGTTTATGTAGAATGAACAACTGGAATATTTGCCTCTACAAGCAAACATTTCAGATTTTATGAAACCCTTCCCATATTAGTATCATGCATCATTTATTCTAAATTAACCAAAATATGCTGTGGATAATCCTCCTACCACCCACCACACACACCCCAAAAATAAGGGGAAAAAAATGTATATATGCTATACCTGTGCAGTATCTTTTACTACAGAAGGTGAGTTGGTAGCCCCGTAAGAGGTTTCGGAGCCGTGATGGTACCCAGCGATGAATGACTAGAGGCATTAACGTAGCTGTTCTGATACTGACTGCTGCTGTTTCCTGCAACTGATGCCTGAAAATAAATAAATAAAAACATTAATAACCACACCTACAAGTAAAAGAGCAGACGAGAGAAGAGAGAGAGAGAAGGGGGGAAGGGAAGAGAGAGAGAGAGAGAAGGGGGGGAAGAAGAAGAGAGAGAGAAGGGGGAAGGGAAGAGAGAGAGAGAGAAGGGGGGAGGAAGGAAGAGAGAGAGAGAGAAGGGGGGGAAGGGAAGGAGAAGAGAGAGAAGGGGGGAAGGGAAGAGAGAGAGAGAGAAGGGGGGGAAGGGAAGAGAGAGAGAGAGAAGGGGGGGAAGGGAAGAGAGAGAGAGAGAAGGGGGAAGGGAAGAGAGAGAGAGAGAGAAGGGGGGGGAAGGAAGAGAGAGAGAGAGAAGGGGGGAAGGGAAGAGAGAGAGAGAGAGAAGGGGAGAAGGGAAGAGGGGGAGGGGGGAGGGAGGAGAGGGGGGGAGAGAGGGAAGGAGAGAGAAGGGGGGAAGGGAAGAGAGAGAGAGAGAAGGGGGGGAAGGGAAGAGAGAGAGAGAGAGAAGAGAAGGGGAGGAGGGGAAGAAGAGAGAGAGAGAGAAGGGGGGAAGGGAAGAGAGAGAGAGAAGAGGGAAGGGGGGAAGGGAAGAGAGAGAGAGAGAGAAGGGGAAGGAAGAGAGAGAAGGGAGGGAAGGAAGAAAGAGAAGAGAGAGAGAGAGAGAGAGAGAGAGAGAGAGAGAGAGGAGAGAGAGAGAGAGAGAGAGAGAGAGAGAGAAGAGGAGAGAGAGAAGAGAGAGAGGAGAAGGAGGAGAGAGAGAGGAAAGGAGGAGAGAGATATGGAAGGGAGGGGAGAGATATGGAAGGGAGGGGAGAGGAGAGAAGGAAGGGAGAAGGGGAGGAGGGAAGAAGACTGTTAACAATGTCACTACCGTTTCAAATAATTTCCACTGTAGTATTATATTAGGGGGACCTTTCCTGGGGGGATTAGCAAGCCTATATATATAAGTACACCAATGAGAAAAACTGACAAAAGAGTGTTAGAGCCCACCTGGGTTATTTCTTGACAGGAACGTAAGTGCCAACAGGTAGAACTGTGTTTGCAGATAATACCAGGTACATCTTTACAGACTTCTGGTAGTTACAAACTTGCATACACTGTTTGATAATGACATTCTACACAGAAATGAGTTTGTGAATGTCCAAGGAACACATACCAATATCATAAGAAATAATGCACAATGATTTATGATGAAATATTTTGAGATCTAAAAAAATATGAGTTTTGTGTGCATTTACACATGAAATATGCTCTACATTGCAACACCCTGGTAATATGCTGTAGCATACCAAGTATAAATTACTAATGTTAAATAAATGAAAGTACAAATAATAATGATAATGTTTTGGTTTGGCTTCACTCTAACATACAATACTGTTCACTATTATTATAATTTATTTTGATTTGGAATAGGTTGTTTCTGTTCTAAATACCACTTTAATATGTAGGGTGTTTTTGAACTTCCGCAAAAATAAGAGATATTTCGAACATTTCATGCTTAAGATGATAGCATACAATATCAGTATTAAAAATAAAAACATTATGGAATTTTGAAAATCAGTCTTATGCAATGGTCTTAGTAAAGAGCCGAAAAGACACTTTATTCTTTTCATGCTTTTCCACGAAAAAATGCAACCTGTGGATGCTTCCGTAGGCCATAGGTAAAATAAATATGTAGATAACCAACCCCAACCAGGTGTCTGATGATTTTTATTCACCTATTTGCAAAGATAATGAGAACAAACGACTGAACATAAACTCTACCTGAGCAGAGAAACTGGATCCATAGCCACCTGTTGGCTGTGAACTACTGGTATTGTTGTTGCTATTGGTTGCAACCGCTGCACTATTAGCATTGCTGTAACCAGTGCTGCTGCTACCACCATTGCCTCCCTGTTGACTGCTGTTTGTGTAGGAATTCTGTAGAAATTTAGAGTAGAATATTTAATATTCAATGTTCACAATTTGTCTTCTTAAATCATGTTTTATTTTCAACATTTTAGGAAGATATGCAAATAAATAATACAGAAAAGTATATAATGATAGAGCAATAGTTGAAATATAAAATGTATTTGGAAAAAAAATATATAAATAAATAATAATACATACAAATTAATCATGCAACC